GCACTGCTCCTGGGAAAGCTAGTCCACAGACGCTCCTGGTACCCCACCCCTCCTCACTGCACTGCTCCCACCCCTCCTCACTGCACTGCTCCTGGGAAAGCCAGTCCACAGACACTCCCGGTACCCCACCCCTCCTCACTGCACTGCTCCTGGGAAAGCCAGTCCACAGCAGGCCAGCCCTGAAGGTCTGACTAAGCCCTGGCAAGTGCCACAGCTCTGTAGAGAAGACCAGGTTCCTGCAGCTGTGTGACACAGGCCAGAGGCCACTCACAGTCTTGCCCTGCTCAGTCTTGGCTTGGCTGCCCTGCACCATGGACCAACCCTCAGTTTTAAGCTCCACGATGCCTTTGTCTTGAAGCCTAGGCTTCCCATTAAGAGAGAAAAGGATTTTCTGGAAACACAGTGGAAGGAGACATCCCTTCCCACACAGGGTGCAGGGAATCCTGGGGAAGAGCAGGGTCAGTGTGGCCCAGATCCTGGGGAAATGTCCAGGCCACTTCCTTTCCTTTGTCCTCAGCGAGGAACCTAAGGGGAAGCAGAGAGTGCCCAATGGAGCCTTTGTCTCAGCCCAAGAGGGGAACAGTGCTTGGTGTACAAGGTCTGATGTCTCCCACTGCGTTGCTTATGACTGCATGTGGCCTGTGGGAGTCCAACAGGCCCTGCACAGGGGGAAATGTAGAGTCTACTTATGGGCCTTGATGCCATAGAACTACCTGGGGGGGGACCAGAAGGGACCAGGGGCTATGCAGTGGCCAGGACAGCAGGAGCCCAGGGGCCAGCCAGAGCCCCAAGGGCAGCACAAGCCCAGAGGCCCTTCTCACAGATGCATTTGGAGGAGGACAGGGAGGAGGTAAGAAGGGACAAGGGGCCAGTGCTATGGCCTAACAGGTAAAGCTGCCACCTGCAGTGCCGACATCCCATATGGGTACAGGTTCAAATCCCATCTGCTCCACTTCCAATCCAGGTCCCTGCAATGGCCTGGGAAAGCAGCAGAAGATGGCCCAAGTGTTTGGGCCCCTGCACCCATGAGGGAGACCCAAAAGAAGCTCCTGGCTCTTGGCTTTGGATTGGCGCAACTCCAGCCATTGTAGCCATTTGGAGAGTGAACCAGTGGATAAAAGACCTCTCTGTCTCTCTCCCTCTGCCTCTAACTCTGCCTTTCAAATAAATAAATAAACCTTTAAGAAAAAAAAGGGAGGGAGGGGGAAGAGGAGGAGGGACAAGACCATCCCCAGTGTTTGCACCTTGCAGCAAGCACGTCCCTGTAGGGAAAAGCAGAACAGAGATGAGTCGTGAAAATAATGGGACAGGGCCGGCGCCGAGGCTCACTAGGCTAATCTTCCGCCTGCGGCACCGGCACACCGGGTTCTAGTCCCGGTCGGGGCGCCGGGTTCTTTCCAGGTTGCTCCTCTTCCAGTCCAGCTCTCTGCTGTGGCCTGGAAGTGCAGTGGAGGATGGCCCAAGTCCTTGGGCCCTGTACCTGTGTGGGAGACCAGGAGAAGCACCTGGCTCCTGGCTTCAGATCGGCGTGGTGCACCGGTCACAGTGCACTGGCTGCAGTGGCCATTGTGGGGTAAACCAATGGAAAAGGGAGACCTTTCTCTCTGTCTCTCTCTCTCACTGTCCACTCTGCCTGTCAAAAAATAATAATAATAATAATAACAATGGGACTAAGGACAGAAGAACAAGATAGAAATCAGCAAGGGAAAATGAAGCTAATTTTCTCTGTCCAGTTGAGACAGTGTGTAAAATCTAAAGCCACTATTAATATAAATATGTGTACATATATAAAGGCTCAAAGCTCTGGAAAAGGCTCCCATGCTTGCCTCTGACCCCCCTCAAGGGTGCACCCCAGGCAGGCCAGACCTCTGAGCCACACCTGTACCCCACACCTGCAGTGGGGCCCAACATACCCTGAAGTTCCCACTCTGCACATTGTAGAGGGGCTAGAAGAACACAGCTGGGATGGGCACATCCTGATGAAAGCTTCTCTTTACCCTGAGGCCAGAAGGAGGCAGAACCAATGGGGACCCAAGTAGGGGCTGCTCCCAAGGGGAATGCTCCCAGGGTTCTCTTTGGCTCCCAGGCCTGGCCCCAGCAAGCACCCCTTCTCCCACACCCTCTCCCTATCTGTCCACTGCCTCTTGTGCTCTGTTACACTCAACCCTGGCCAGTCTTCTCCAGGACCCACTCAGGACAGGGGCCCTGTGCCCCTGGTAACTTGACACACACTCATGAGACTTGACGGCTTACCCAAGGAGGACTCTTGTCTCATTCTGAGGCATATATTAGGGCTGAAAACAGGGTTCTGTGCACACTAGAACCCAAAACTGCATTTTCATAGAATGTGTGAAAAAATGAGCAAGCAGGCCAGTTCCCCAGAGACAGGATACTGAGTCACACTTCAGCTGGGCAGGGCCAATCCAATGCCATCTTTGGGATTTGCCACAGAACCACTTCCCCTCTCTTCCCCAGTGATGTGGGAACCCCTCACCACTGACCCAGGGTAGAGACTTGAAAACCCCACCTAATCCAGGATCAGCCAGTGAGAGGTGGGGAGGAGTGACCCTTGATGCCCGACTTACCACACATACACACACATGCACACACACACACGAGCACACATACACACACTACCTACCAACCTGGGTGACAGCTTGAACAGAAGGTAGATGAGGCCACTCAGCAGGTTAAAGATGGACACAACAACAAGGGTGCTGTCCAGCTGCCCCCAGGGTGGGATCAGAGAACCTGTGGGCAGAAGGGCTCAGGGCTGTGAGCAGCCTCCTTGCAAGAATATTGTCTCCAAACCCCCACAGCAAGAGTCTCTGTTACTGCATTAGGCCACAGTGGGAAGTTTGTAGCTTGCCTGCCAGGATACCTGGGGTGAGTCCCACCCGGGCCTCCCTCTCCTCATCTGCCATTCAGCCGGGGGTAAGCGCTGCTGTGGGCAAGGATCAGTCCAGCCCCCACCCAGGTGACTAAGGTCATGTCTGGCCTCCAGGCAGCCCTGGAGCACACATCCTCTAAACAAAAGCCACAAAGCAAAGGCTCTCAGGAAACCCAGGGCATCGGCTTCTTCTGTGCATATCTCTGACAGTCAGGTGAAGGGGTTAGCTGGGCAGGACTGTCCCAGGGAGGGGGTATGGCAGGGTGCAGGGTACACGGGTGGGATGAGCAGAGAGGGGGCCTGAACCAGCCCCTGGAGGACAGCACCCACCCCATCTCTGGGGAAGGTGGAAGCACACGGGGGCTGGCTCCACTCACTCACTGGCCTTCATGCTCCTCCTCCACATCATCCTCCAGCGTGGCCATCTGCACCTGCAGCCTGGGCTCGTAGGCAGAGCCAGGGTCCAACTCCATGGCTCCAAGGGTGATCCTTGTTAGTCAACTGGCGCAGGCGCAGTCTCCTATCTGTGGCGCGATCTACATTCTGTGCCCCGGTACCCGCTGCCATTATTGACATCCTATGCCCTGGTACCAGCCGCCATTACTGAAAGCCAGGTAGCCACATGGCCCAAATTACCTGTGCCTAGCTCCACCCCCAACCTAATGGGATTGGCTAATTCCTACCTCACTGCCCACCCCCTGGAAAAACTATATTAGACCCCCATCCCAGACACGCCGTCTCTCTCTTTTTCCTTCGCCGCCCCTTCACTCCGGTCTGTAGGGTGTTCCCCAATAAACCCTTTCCCTTACTCTGGTGTCTGGTGTGCTTTGCGACGGCTAACCTTAAGATATAACAATCCTGGTCACCCCAACAACGTGGTCCCTGTGCTGGGCCGACTGTGGGTTGGAGGCACTTAGGTCCTGAGGGTGATGCTAGGCCCATTAGTCCTTGAGACCAAACACACGGGCACACATAGGCATACTCACATGCATTCATCCACACCTTCACAGACACACTGCGTTCACACACACACAGCCACACTCACTACACTCACACACTCACACATATAAGCACAAGACACACTCACATACCCATAGAAGCATTCTGTGTGCACACAAATACAAACACACACATGTACAACCACACTCATAAATGCAGGCACACTCACACTTGTCTCACATACTTGTAAGGAGCAGAAATTAAACAGCCTCACCATAATATTAACAATAAGCAATAGCTAAACTGACTGCAGGAAATCTGCATGGACTGGATAAGAACCACCCATGGCCCACACACACCTTCTTCAGGACCTTGCTGGCCCTATGCTGACCAACAAAAGTGTATACAAACTGCACACTGAAGAGGCCCAGGGAGACTCTGAGCAGACTCTCCTGAGAGCAGCAGAACAAAAGCTCCAGGTTAACCCACTGCACTCAGAACAAGAGAGTTCTCTCAGCCAGCCCTGTGCCTGCCCGATGCTGAGGCTCTGAGCTGACCCAATGCCAAGGCCTGCTTGCCTGATGCCAGCTCTGAGCTCACCTGATGTTGAAGCCCTGCTCACCTGAAGCCGAGACTCTACTCGCCCTTGGGGACTTTTATTCTTTGGCTCACGGGCACCACCCATGCGGATGCTGTGAGAATCCGCCTTTCGTGGCTAAGACACTTTGTGAGGAGTATCAGAGGTACTTTGGGAAACTTGGGTGGTCAGTTTGCCAGTGTGTTGTGTAAATTAGAGTGTCTGACTTCCCCACTCCATAATAAAATCCTTATTGGAACCAACACAGCCTTAGTGCCATTACTATGCTCACAACAAGTAATACTATATTTATGTATAAATTTATCATTGAGCCAAGACTCACACTCCCCAAATTACAAAACATTAGTGATGGAAATGAAATAAATACAAAATAAACATAAGGACATGTCATGCTAATGTATTAGAAGACTTAAATCTTTCAAGACTGCAATACTACCCAAAGCAATCTATAGTCAATGTGATTCATGTCACAATCACACAGACCTTGAGCCATGCATATTAGAATACCTATCTTAACATTCTAATGGAATTTCGAAGAAACACGAATGGTTATTTTGAATTCCATTTTTCTACCTGAAACCTTTCCTCTGCAGAGTTCTCAGGAAGCCTTCTTCTCACCAATGCACAGCATAGGTCTGGTATCTCCAAGAGGCCTGTCCCAAAGAGGAAAATGTTTTGAGTTATCCATTAGCATGTCAAATAACACTTAACTTGGAGCCATTTCTTTTAAATGGACTTCTACAAATATTTAAATAGAGCCTTTTCTTTTAACTTCTACAAGAATTTTTTTTTCTAATGCAAAAGTATGGACTTTAATCAACGTGCCCAAATTGACTCATAAATTGTAACAAATGTATCACACGAATGCAAGATGTTGAGAAAATCATGGGTGGTGGGGTTGGGGAGTGGGGCAAATATCTGGGAACTCTGTAGTTTCCCCTGAAACTGTTCAAATATAGCAAGCATTCTAAAACAAAACAAAATCACATTCTACATAACAAAATACTTAGTAAGTCTGTACTTGAGGTATGAGGAGACACTGAAGATGGTCAGAATTATTCAGATGCAAGCCAATCTGTTGTGGACTCCACCATATGGCCTTCCTGGTAGAGAGGGGGAGGTGGGACTTTCATAAACTTAGGTACCACTTTTTAGTGAAAAAGTGGCTTTTTTGTTAAATAGCAGGAAGGCAAAGAATTCTCCTTGTATCTGCTTCTTCTCAATTACTCTCAGATAAAAACAACACGAACACAGTTTAAGGTGGCATATTTTGGGGTGGCATATTCTGTTTTCTTACAGTGTGGTGTTTTTTCTCCCCCACTGACATTAATCTTCTCATCATCTTCTTATTCCTCTTAGTACATTCAGGGCATAACATGTTGTCTTCTAGTCCTGGGGATGGAAAAGTACAGGCTGGTAACAGGAAGAGAGAAATCATCCTCTTGGGAGTATCAGGTATCCAGGTGTGGCCTGCACGGAATTGCAGGCGAACCCAGCCCGGTACATCTGCAGGGAGAAGTCTGCCGTGAACTACACACCACCTGACACCAGAGGCTTCCTGCAAAAAGGCTTCAACTGAAGTAGGAATGGAAGACGAATTCACAGCCTTGGGCTGACTGACTCTTGCAGCAATTCTTGCCCAAGATGCCAACGTGGCTTCCTGAGCTGAAGTTATCACTTCAACTATATTAGTTTCTTCCTCTCCATTGCTCCTAGTACAACTGTCCTGCAGCCTTGCTCTATTAGTACTTTTTCTTGGACATGACTGCATTTTGGCTTCTCGTGGTGTGTCAGGAACATCCTGTATTTGTTCAGGATATGCATGTCTCTGGAGCCTCAGATACACTTCTATTTTCTGGCCATCTGTACTCAAATTAAGTTGTTGGCACCAGTTCCGCAAAGTGTTCCGAGACACCTTAGTAATTGGGGGCAAAATGGTTGGCAGGGGAAAAACTGCTTTTTTGCACTTAGGTTTTGGGGAAGCTTTGAATTGTTCATTTGCTTGTGGAAAATCAACTTTATTGCTTTGCCAAGGCTTCTTAGATTTGATATCTGCAGGTTTGATATCTGCGGTTGAAGAAACACTTGGTTCCACTAGATGTTCTTTTTTAGGTTCCTCTACAACTGGAACCAATGTTAAAATCACATTGTCCTCATCTAATGCCTCCTTAAAGTAATTCATCTCGCTGCTGCTATAATGTGAGTCTGACATTTTCAGATCGGCCAGGAGAATGTCACTTCTACAAGAATTTAAAATCCAACCTTAGAGGATAAAAAACAGCCCACCTGCTGAGTACCTGCATAGCCTGGGACCTCACCAGGAAGCAAAACAAAGGGGCAGTCCCCTGGCTGTGCCCTCTCAGATACTTCCTCCATTTGCTTCAGCTGAGAAAAACTCTCTGCTCACTCCTTGAGGGGGCCCAAAGCCAGTTTCCCTCTGGTACTTCTGGACATATATATCACTCCTCTGTTCAAATGAACCACTTATTTTATATAAAGCTTTTTTATGTACTTATTTGAAAGTCAGGCTAAGAGAGGGGAAGAGAGTGAGATCTTTCATCTGGAATAGAGGCCTTTGGCTTTTAATTAAAATTATTTCTTACTGACAGGATTAAAGTTGTGGTAGAAGCCTTCCTAAGAAGAAGCAAAGGGGAGGAATCTGTCCTGGAAATGAAATGTGGTTGTGATCTGCCTGCCTATGAATGTGTCAACTGCACATGCTATCTGAGGCGTCTAGTGGGGCTGGGGGTTCAGTGGGCCCCTCAGACAAAGGTTGGATGTTCTTCACAAGCAGGCTGCCAGCTGTGGCTGGAAAGCTTGTTTCCAGACCAACTGACATCTCCCCCACTAATAGCAGCTTCTTGGGCTGCATGTGCCACCTTGTGGCTCTAACTCACATCTTCAGGGTGGCTACAATCTTTCACTCAGCACTGACAGAGGAAGGGGCTGAACCCTGGGGAGAGTCAGACTGGCTCCAGGAGATCCCTGCTATTTTGTGGGATCCTTGTGGTTTTAAATCATACTTTTTTAAAAAAGATTAATTTATTTATTTGAAAGTCAGAGTTATACAGAGATAAGAAGAGGCAGAAGGCGGGGAGCATAGAGGTCTTCCATCCGCTGGTTCATTCCCCAAATGGCCGCAACGGCTGGAGCTGAGCTGATCCGAAGCCAGAAGCCAAGAGCTTCTTCCAGGTCTCCCATGTGGGTGCAGGAGCCCAAGGACTTGGACCATCTACTGTTTTCCCAGACCATAGTAGAGAGCTGGATCGGAAATGGAACAGCTGGGTCTCGAACTAGCGTCCCTATGGGATGCCGGCACTGCAGGCGGCAGCTTTATCTGCTATGACACAGAGTTGGCCCCCTTAAATTGTAACAGCTAGCAGAGGAGGGGGTTGAGCCCCTAAGGGAGAGAAGGGCCTTCTCCAGGAGACCCCAAACACTATCTCCAGCCGGCGGCGCGGCTCAATAGGCTAATCCTCTGCCTTGCGGCGCTGGCACACCGGGTTCTAGTCCCAGTCGGGGCGCCGGATTCTGTCCCGGTTGCCCCTCTTCCAGGCCAGCTCTCTGCTGTGGCCAGGGAGTGCAGTGGAGGATGGCCCAAGTGCTTGGGCCCTGCACCCCATGGGAGACCAGGATAAGTACCTGGCTCCTGCCATCGGATCAGCACGGTGCGCCGGCCGCAGCGTGCCGGCCGTGGCGGCCATTGGAGGGTGAACCAATGGCAAAGGAAGACCTTTCTCTCTGTCTCTCTCTCTCACTGTCCACTCTGCCTGTCAAAAAAAAAAAAAAAAAAAAAAAAAAAAAAAAAAAAAAAAAAAACACCACTATCTCCATGGGCCCCTAGCCAATCAACATACAGCCTGTGAAACTCCCGCCCAATGGGCACCCCCACAGAATGACCCAAGGAAAAAATACAGTAATGCCTTAAAAACTCAGGACACTTCCTCAAAGCCAGTGCCCCACTCGGGCACTCTGCCTGGTCTCCTCTCAGACCAGACACTTTTTTCTGTGGCTTGTCAATCAAATAAAAGATTCTCTTCTGTCAAATAAAAGTTTCTGCCTCTTTGCAAATTGTTTCCTAAGTTTTTATTTCTATACTAAGCTGAGGAAAAGAACCTGCTCCAGCAACCACCCTATCTGCTGATGTATAACCATTTCAGGTTCTGCAGCTCAGTACATGTGTGCAAAAAAAAAAAAAAAAAATCATCAGTAACTATGTATGCATACACAGTATTGTATCAATACCTGTGGCAGTCATGTAACAATAGAATATCCAATCAAATGTATGCATGTAGCCATATAAGGGAAACAAAGAGGCTAAAATACCCCTCTTTGTTCTGGGCTCAGGCTTTTGGATAAGAATTCCCACTTGGGCCTTACACATAAATAATAAAAGACCTCGACTTCTTATCTCTGTACAGAATCTTGCTACACATCCAATAGGTTCACTCCCCAAATGGCCACAACAGAGAGGGCAGGGCCATGCGGAAGCCTGGATCCAGGAGCTTCATCTCGGTCTCTGATATGGGTGCAGAGTCCCATGGCACTTGGGCCGTCCTCCGCTGCTTTCCAGGCCCATTAACAGGCAGCGAGATCGGAAGTGGAGAAGCCAGGACTCGAACCTGCGCCAAGTGTCTTAGGTGGCAGTTTTACTTGCTATGCCACAGTGCCAGCCCCCAAAGCTCTTTTAACAGACATAAATATATAAGTATACAGCGTTTTGAGTTTTAAAACATCTACTTTGCGAATACTTTCACGCTGAAAAAAAAAAAAAAAGTCATTGAAACACACATGGAAGGGCGACTGCAGCCGGCCGCTGCCAACTCTCACCTCGCCCAATGCAGGGTGTCCACGCGTCTCTCTCTGCCAGGATTTCCCCCAGAAACAGACGCGAATCCGCACAAACACCTCAGCACGCTGTGGCGGAGCCCGGCCCACGCCTCCACGGAGACCCTGGGGTACAGCAGACCCCGGGAACTGTTCCCTGAGGAGGGGGGTCCTCACACCTCAGCGCGCTGTGTGGGGATGTGGCCCACGGGGACCCTGGGGTTCAGCAGACCCCGGGAACTGTTCCCTGAGGAGGGGGGTCCTCACACCTCAGCACGCTGTGGCGGAGCCCGGCCCACGCCTCCACGGAGACCCTGGGGTTCAGCAGACCCCGGGAACTGTTCCCTGAGGAGGGGGGTCCTCACACTTCAGCGCGCTGTGTGGGGCGCGGCCCACGGGGACCCTGGGGTCAGCAGACCCCGGGAACTGTTCCCTGAGGAGGGGGGTCCTCACACCTCAGCGCGCTGTGTGGGGATGTGGCCCACGGGGACCCTGGGGTTCAGCAGACCCCGGGAACTGTTCCCTGAGGAGGGGGGTCGTCACACCTCAGCGCGCTGTGGGGGCGCGGCCCACGGGGACCCTGGTGTCGGCAGACCCCGGGAACTGTTCCCTGAGGAGGGGGGTCCTCACACCTCAGCGCGCTGTGGGGGTGCGGCCCACGGGGACCCTGGTGTCGGCAGACCCCGGGAACTGTTCCCTGAGGAGGGGGGTCCTCACACCTCAGCGCGCTGTGGGGGCGCGGCCCACGGGGACCCTGGTGTCGGCAGACCCCGGGAACTGTTCCCTGAGGAGGGGGGTCCTCACACCTCAGCGCGCTGCGGGGATGCGGCCCACGGGGACCCTGGTGTTCAGCAGACCCCGGGAACTGTTCCCTGAGGAGGGGGGGTCCTCACACCTCAGCACATTGTGGGGGGCGCGGCCCACGGGGACCCTGGGGTCGGCAGACCCTGGGAACTGTCTCTGAGGAGGGAGGGTCCTCACACCTCAGCGCGCTGTGGGGATGTGGCCCACGGGGACCCTGGGGTCAGCAGACCCTGGGAACTGTTCCCTGAGGAGGGGGTCCTCACACCTCAGCGCGCTGTGGGGGCGCGGCCCACGGGGACCCTGGGGTACAGCAGACCCCGGGAACTGTTCCCTGAGGAGGGGGGTCCTCACACCTCAGCGCGCTGTGGGGGCGCGGCCCACGGGGACCCTGGGGTCAGCAGACCCCGGGAACTGTTCCCTGAGGAGGGGGGTCCTCACACCTCAGCGCGCTGTGGGGGCGCGGCCCACGCCTCCACGGGGACCCTGGGGTCGGCAGACCCCGGGAACTGTTCCCCGAGAGGGAGGGTCCTCGGGCTGCCTTGGCGATCAGCGGCGTGCACCCAGGCCTGCTCCTCGTTGGGTCCTCAGGTGGCTCCCGCAGGCGACCAGGGACACACAGTAACCCCTCGGCCCAGGCATCTCTCCGGGTCCTGAGAATACAGTTGGGGTTCTTGCTGTGGAGACAGCCACTCCGGGGCACGACGGAGACAGAGGGCTGGACTTCCGGGGCGGCAGCTGGGTCAGCGCGGGAGCTCAACGCGCTCTGTTCCCCATGGTCAGGCTCCCCCTAGCGGCCGCCAGGGGTAGCGCAGGAGCTCGGAGCTCTCTGCGCCCCATGGTCAGGCGCCCCCTGGCGGTTGCGAGCGCAGCACAGGAGCTGGGCAATTTCCGTGCGCAGTGGCCGACCACCTCCTGGAGGCACTCCTGGTAAACCTGAATTCTGTGTTCCATTATTCTAGGCCTCGATTTTAAAAATTCGGATAGAAATACATTCCACTATCCTATGCCTCAATCAGAATAGAGGGAAATAACAAGAAGTAGACAAATGTCAACAGATCTATATATTAGGAATAATGCATAACGTAAAATAAAAATTTAAAACTGGAATATGAAAATGTTCAAAGGCAGTATCACTTAGAATTGCACTGTGTAAAGTTAAAATCCTAGAGAACATAAAAAAGTCAAAATATGCAGACAGAAAACGTTGACACATAGTTGAAAGAAATGAAATCAAAGTCAAGGCAGAGATACTTCTTGTTCAGGATTGGTAAACTCAATATGGTTAAGATGAAAATTATTTCAATTTTTGACACAGAGATTCATGGAAATCCCAAATTCCCATAAAGCTGCTCCTAAGAGTAGAAGAGATACCACAGGTTGAATAAGAATCAGTACAAAAACCTCACACATCTAAATCCTAGCATTTACCATGGAGCCACAGTGATGAAGAAGCTGTGACACCGGTGAAGGAACACAAAGGCGGGTAAATCAAACCGAACAGAGAGAATAAAACAGACCAGAATAGGCCCAGTAAACTTAATTTGTCAAAAGGTGAAAGGCAACTCAATGGAGAACGGGTTTGCAGAAAAATTCATTCA